AATTGATGATAGCTTTAGTCCTAAAATTTTTATGGTAGCTTCATTGTATTATTATGTGCTCACTATAATTTTTGTAGCTATAGAATAGACTAAGCATTAAGGTAGTTAAATGCTCTTTGTTTCAATATACATTAAATCTCAAGTAGAAATAAAGATATATCCTTCATTTGTAAAGCTAGGTGCTTGTTAGTTGAATCCAACACCTTGCTTGATGAAAATGATAGTTAGCTTAGTACCTTAGTCATTAGAGCTAGCTTAGTAGCTTAGGATAAGTATTCTTAGTTTAAGAGTCGTTGTTGCCTAAATGTTAAGTGTTGTATCATCATCGCATGCATATAGAGAACGAGTTGGCGGAGCCACTGATGATCACGAGTTTGAGGAGATTGTTGAGGAGTACGAGGAGGAGATTCTCGTGCAGGAGGAGGTCCCGGAGTCGCCACTGACTGACTCAGCTGACACCGCGCCTGCCCAAGGCAAGCCCCAGTGCATAACCCCTTATTTTTTATAATCACTAAATATATATATATGTGATGTGCATTTACGTTATAGGAATTTTATGGAAACCACATGCATAGATATAATTGTCCTATGAGTGCTACTAGTACATGTTCGAGTAGCTGCTATGCTTAGGTTTTCGGTAGCGTGAGTAACCTGTCATTACTCACAATAGGTGATTATTATAATTACTCTCATGATAAAATGATGAAAGGAAAAATGGAGATGGGACAGGGATATGGTATGGGTATTGGTGCGTGTAACAGGTTGTGTCTCACGGCCAACGGGGCTTAGCTTGGTTACACTGTTTTTCCTGTCTGTGTCGATTAAGGACCGTCCGTTGCTGTGGACGGTAGTCAGGTCACAGACTTATTATCCTGAGCACATACTTGCTTATAGGAGCGGAAAGGCTCGTTACACTCTTATCGTGGATTCCGGCTCTTTCCAGACCGACTGATTAGAGGCGGGGATAGGTGGAGGCCTAAGCACCATACTGAGACCGGGTCTCAAGTGTGGGGGCTTGGAGTTCAAGTTTAGATGGGGACCTGGACCCCGTGACATGAGTGAAATGGGTTGGTCTTGTTTGTGCCTAGGGTACAAACGGGACGTGTGTTTCGAGGTACCTAGCTGTGATACATTGGTTCGCGAAACGTTGTGAGACGGTATGCCTTGGCTATGGTCTAGCACCGTAGTAAGAACTGGAAGATGAAAGATGATAAAATGGTTATGATTGCTCAACCCTTACCTGAAAGTAGAATAGGTGCTTACCTAGAATGGTTAGCTAATGAAGTAATCATGACTGCTAATAAAACTTGATCTTAAGGATGTACTCCTAGTAATGCTTTTTGCAAACAAAAGAAAACAGCAAACTCATATTGCCTATCATATCCTTGAGAGTCGGGAAACTATTCCCACTAGTCGGGTAAGTCATGCGAGTACATTGTGTACTCAGGGTTTATTTTACCCCTATTGCAGGTGCAGCTTGAGGAGTAGCTCTTGTGTGGAGGATTCTTCTGGTGGGCACAAACGGATCCTTATATCATTTCCGCTAGATGTTTATTTTTATTCCGTTGTTTCATTTTTGCACTCTGAACTCTGGTATTGTGATAAATAATTTTCAAGAACTTTTGTTGGATGAAATAGACTAAGTATTGTAAACTCGTACTCATTATCGGATTCTGGATGTAAAACATGGATTGTTTCGAGTTCTCCCTTGGGGTGTGCTTGACGGAACTGTCTGATGTAGCTAACTTTCGGGGTGCTTAGTGTCTAGTGGAAGACGAGCGCTTCTGAAAGCGTGTTATTTCAGGCGGTTCTGATCAGGGTTGTTTGACCCACCAACCCAGTTGCCTCCTTCTCGAAGTTGTGATCACTCAATTCCCCTGGCTCCTGGAGAAGCTCCGGTTTATTCTCGGTCGTACCAATTTTCCTCGGCTCTCAAGGATGAGGTGGAGAAACAAGTCAAAGAGATGTTGGCATCGGGCATTGTTTAGAAGAGCACCAGTCCATTTTCATCTGCAGTATTATTGGTGAAGAAAAAGGATAATACATGGAGATTCTGTGTCGATTACCGGCAGCTCAACGCTATCACAGTTAAGGGCAAGTACCCGGTTCCCATAATTCATGAACTGCTTGATGAGTTATCTATAGCTACTTGGTTTTCAAAACTCGATTTGCGCTCTGGCTTTCACCAGATTTTGCTTAAGCCCGGTAAAGAATTTAAAACAGCTTTCCAAACACATTTTGGCCAGTTTGAGTTCAGAGTTATGTCATTTGGTCTCACAGGAGCCCCTAGGACATTTCAAGATGCTATGAACTCGACTCTAGCTCCTTTTCTCCAGAAACTTGTACTTGTTTTCTTCTATGACATTCTGATATTTAGTTCATCTTATGAGGAGCATGTCCAACACTTGCAGTTGGTATTTCAGCAGATTCAGGCACATGACTGGAAAATTAAGCTATCTAAATGTGAGTTTGCCAAGCAAAGCATTGCATACCTAGAAGGTGGCTGCTATTGTTAATTGGCCTACTCCTATATTAGTCAAGGATCTGCGTGGTTTTCTTGGTCTAGCGGGGTACTACAGAAAGTTTGTGCGCAATTTTGGCATTATGGTGAAACCATTGACTGAGCTGCTGCGGAAGAATACTTTGTTTATTTAGACTACTGCCCACGATTAGTCTTTCCAAGCCTTGAAGCAAGCCTTGAGCTCCTCACCAGTCCTTGCCTTGCCCGATTTCTCCAAGCCGTTTAGCATTGAGACTGATGCTAGTGCCAGCGGTATTGGAGCTGTGCTGACTCAGGAGGGTCACCCATTGGCATTCCTCAGCAAAGCCTTGGGCCTCGGTTCTCGTGGGTTGAGTACTTATGAGAAGGAATACATGGCCGTCTTAATGGCTGTCCAGCAATGGCATTCTTACCTACAGCATACTAAATTCACCATTTTTATGGATCAGCAGGGCCTTGTTCAGTTAACTAACCAGCGTCTTCATACACCATGGCAGCAAAAGCTCTTCTCTAAGCTGGTGGGCTTACAGTTCCGCATTGTTTATAAGCCAGGCACTACAAACCGAGTAGTTGATGCTTTGTCACTCAAGATCTTTCATGATTCCACCTGTTCTGCAAATCTCAGTGGTTTCTCCAACTTGGATACAAGAGGTGGTGCCCGGTTATGCTGTTGATCCTATATCTTTTGAGATGATAGCTAAATTGAGCATTGATCCCAAAGTTGTGTCGGGTTTCTCTTTGCGCGATGGTGTCCTTCATCAGGGTCCACGTATATGGATTGGAGATAATTCAGTTCTTCAGCAGAAAAATTCTCCAGGCCATTCATTCCAGCGCTCTGGGCGGTCACTCCGGATTTCCAGCAACGTATACTCAGTTGAAACAGTTGTTCCAATGGCGTGGTATGAAGTCTACTACCCGGGCTTTCGTTTAAGCTTGTGTGACTTGTCAACAGGTCTGCCCGGTCTCCTTCAACTGCTGCCAGTACCCGAAGCCGCCTGGCAAACAATATCAATGGATTTCGTTGAGGGGCTACCCCGCTCAGGTAATGTTAACTGCATTCTAGTCGTTGTTGACTCCTTCACAAAGTATGGCCACTTCTTGCCATTGTTCCATCCATTTACAGCTTCAGTTGTTGCTAAGCTTTTCCTCAACAATGTTTACCGCTTACATGGTCTGCCTACTGCAATTATATCTGATCGGGATCGTATTTTCACAAGTCACTTTTGGTGTGAGCTCTTTCGCCTGGCAGATGTCTCTTTGCAAATGAGCTCCAATTATCACCCGCAATCAAATGGACAGACTGAGCGCCTCAATCAAACCATGGAGACATTCTTACGCTGTTTTGTTAATGCTTCTCCTACTAAATGGTCATCTTGGATTGCTCTTGCGGAATTCTGGTACAATGCTTCCCCTCATTCTGCAATTGGTTGTTCCCCTTTTGAAGCCCTCTATGGCTATCCCCCTCGTCATTTCGGGATCTTAGTTTTGGATGATGTGGCTGCACCGGAGCTGTCTTCTTGGCTTCAGGATCATCAGGTTATGACTGACTTGATCCGTCAGCACGTAGCCCGCGCAAAGGAGCGTATGAAGAGGCAAGCTAACAAGAAACGTTCAGAGCGCCAGTTCACTATTGGTGACATGGTTTTTGTCAAGCTTCAACCCTATGTTCAGTCTACTCTGGCCCCTCGCTCAAACCAGAAGCTATCCTTCAAGTTCTATGGACCCTTCAAGATTGTTGAGCGCATTGGCTCTGTGGCTTACAAGTTACTGTTACCACCATCATCCGCTATCCACCCGGCATTTCACGTCTCGCAGCTGAAGGCCGCTGTTCTTCCTCATGTGCAGGTATCACCTTCTTCACCAGCTGACAGTGAGTTGCCTCAGGTTCCTAAGGAAGTGTTGTAGCGTCGTGTGATTCCTACTGCTACTGGCTCGGTGGAGCAAGGCCTGATCCTGTGGTCTGGTTGGCCGAGTGAAATGGCCACCTGGGAGAACCTGCTTCAGCTTCGTCAAGCCTTTCCAAGAGCTCCTGCTTAGGGTCAAGCATGCTTGCTACGACTACTTCAGAGGATGCGGCCCATGGACCTCGGGTTGGTTCACGCAACCGCCGGCCCAATGTTCGTCTAGCTGGCGCAGAGTGGATGTGAGCGTGCCTGTGTGCACCTGGTGGGCGCAAAGCCATGTAAGCATATAAGATACCCAGAGAGAAAGAGAAGGTTCATCACGAATTATGTAATCAAACTCTAAACTCTCGAGCACTCATCCTTCCTCGCCTGTCCTTCCTGCCTATTTGCTTCTATCCCTTGCCTACTGCTAACAAAATGATGCATGAGAAATGACACAATTTTCAGTTCAGTTGTACTAGTAAAAGATGGAATAAAAAAATATTTCAACAAATTCTATGTGTCCAACAAGTATAATTTCAGCTGTACGACACTATGACTGTATCATCCTCCCCAAATTACCAGGTGCAAAACATCAGCAGCATTGCCTACTAACAATGGCAAATCCCCCTTCATCCTCAGACCCAATTTCAAAGAATACAAATACAACTCTGAACCTGAAATGTACTAGAAGTAAAGTAAGTAGTGTAGCGCCAGCATTCTTCATCAGCGACGACGAAGCTGCAGTTATTCCGATCTCCAAGTATACAATGAACGAAGCTAAATTTGATCCATCCAAGACCAACAACGCCGCCACCGCCAGCGAGGCGAAGTCAGCGGTTGAGGAAGTCGCTGATGACCTTGTCCTGCGCGACGGCCTCGTCGCAGCTCGGCTCCAGGAGGTGGAACGTGTGTCCCTTGCCGGGCGCCTGCTAGATCTCCGCCTCGCCGGGCCACCCGCTGGCCCTGAGACGGTCGTAGTAGAAGTTGCGGCGTCATGGTCGTGAGCACGCCGCCTCGCCGCCGACGACACGAAAGCACGCCGTCAAGACGCCAGGACGCGCATGGGCGGGTGCGCGCCGGCCCACGAAGGGGTTGATGAGTGGGTCGTCCTCCCCCGTGGTGGTGGGGCACATGACGCGCCAGAGGGAGCCCAGGTTCTCGCGCACCTCCGGGCTAAGGTCGTCGGAGGGCACCTTTTTCCGTGCCCAGGAAGTAGGGGTGGATCATGACGAGGCCCCGGATCCCTCTGGCTAATAGTTAAGGCTAAAAATTAGCTCAAATTAGCTCAGTTTGATAAGATAGGACTAGTTAATTGTTAAGGTTAAAAATTAGTTCAAATTAGCTATGTTGGCTAGCTAGGTGGATAACAACTAGTTAGAGACTTGCTTACAAGTTCGCCCACCTATTAGTTTTTCTGTTTGATACACTAGAGCTAATTTTAGCAAATTTTGTAAATTTTTAGCTAAGTAGCAATTAGCCCTTTATTTAAACAGGCCGGATGGTATGTTTTTTTTTATATTGTCCTGTAGCTTCTCTGGCATCTGTGAAACTGAGAAGTCTAAAATACTTGTGTACCGAGCCATTGACTTTCAGCCTTCATCATCATCCTCTCAACATAGGCTAACATGGGAAGCAGAAGAGGCTAGAAAACAACAAAACAGTATAAGCACATAAAAATGTATGCAAAGGCATCTTGCCATGTGAACCAGCTAGTTGACAAATGTATGAACAGCTGAACTTGCCAATTCTTTCTTCTTTGATTTGTTTGTAGGGGTATCTTAGCAATCGAACCCGGCTGACATTTGTACTCCAACTGAGAAGTAATTCCATGAGCATTAGCTGCTGCAAAAAAAAAAGGGCACGATCTTGTAAAAGATGGAATCAATGTTTCCAAACCCTGTGTGTCCGAGAAATGGCAAGTTCAGCTGACATTTCTACCCAAATTGAGAAGTGGTTCAACGAGCAATAGCTGCTACGAATAATATAAGGCGCGGTTTTCACTTCAGTTGTACTAGTAAAAGATAGAATAAATGTTTCAACAAATTCTGTGTCCAACAAGTATAATTTCATCTGTATGACACTATGACTGTATCATCCTCCCCAAATTACCTGGTGCAATACATCAGCACCACTAACAATGGCAAATCCCCCTTCATCCTTGGATCCAATTTCAAAGAATACAAACACGACTCTGAACCTGAAATGTACTAGAATTAAAGTAAGTAGTGTAGAGACAGCAATCTTCATCAGTGACGACGAAGCTGCAGTTATTCCGATCTCCGGGTATACAATATTGAACGAAGCTAAATTTGATCCAACAACGCCACCACCGGCGGCGAGGCGAGTCAGCGGTTGAGGAAGTCGCTGATGACCTTGTCCTGCGCGACGGCCTCTTCGCAGCTTGGCTCCAGGAGGTGGAACGTGTGTCCCTTGCCGGGCGCCTGCCAAATCTCCGCCTCGCCGGGCCACCCGCTGGCCCTGAGCCGGTCGTAGTAGGCGCGGCCGCGGTCGCGGAGCACGTCGCCCTCGCCGACGCACACGAGCACGCGGCCGCACGCCAGGGACGCCAGCGGCTGGGCGCCGTCCACGAACGGGTTGATGAGCGGGTCGTCCTCCCCCGTTGTGGTCGGGCACATGACGCGCCAGAGGGAGCCCAGGCTCTCGCGCACCTCCGGGCTGAGGTCGTCGGAGGGCACCTTGTCGGTGCCCAGGAAGTAGGGGTGGATCATGACGAGGCCCCGGATCCGGGCGCCGTGCGCCAGCCCCTCCGCGGCCACGCGCATCGCCATGTGGTGCGCGATGTTGGAGCCCGCGCTCTCGCCGCCCAGGTAGAGGCGGGAGAAGTCGGCGTGGCCCGCGATCCACGGGTCCCGGTTGGAGTCGTCGGCGGCAGGGGCGGCGAGATGGGAGACGACCCAGGCGAGCGCGTCCCAGGAATCGGCGTAGGCGGCGGGGACGGGGTGCTCGGGGGCGAGGCGGTACTCGACGGAGACGACGAGGACGTTGGCGAGGGCCGCGAAGGTGTTGAAGTAGGCGTGGAAGGTGGGGTTGAAGGCGGAGCCGAGGCAGAAGCCGCCGCCGTGGTAGTAGACGAGGATGGGGAGCTTGGCGGCGCTCCCGTCGTCGAGACGCGGGAGGTAGAGGCGCGCGGAGACGTTGGGGGAGATGACGACGTCCCTGGAGGCGACCCCCGTGGCGGCGTCGGTGGAGGCGGCGACGAACTCGGTGCCGAAGTAGCGCTCCACGCGGTTCTTGTAGACGCGGATGCAGGGCATGGACTCGTACACGATCTCGTCGTCCGCGGACGCCGGCGGCGGGGCGACGGGTGCGGCGGCCATCGGAGGAGATCTGGGCCGAGCAGGCAAGGCAACGATACAGGGTCGCTGGTACAGCAGAGCAGAGTCGTTCGGTGAAGTACTACTAGTTGGCGCTGAAATTTTAGCTGGCCTAGTATTCCGTACCTAATCTTGCAAGTTGCTAGACGCCTCTCACATGCTGATTTTATCTGCTCTTTTGGTGAAATTCCCCCCTCCTCTCAACCTTTCCTTCAAGCCAAAGCATCAAATGGGAGTAGATAGGATTATTCAGCAGACGATCGCTGGCTGCGCAGCCTACCAACAACCAGTCAACATCAAGACCTTTTCTCGTCAAGCATCAAATGGGAGCACGACAATACGTTTCCACCAGCTAACACATCAAAATTCAGGTGCAACGAAGTTGTTCGTTATTCAGCTGCATGAGCAACACGGTAGGCCCGCAGCATTTCATATTGTTCCGATTACAACTTGGAATTGTTCATCGGTGATCAGTCAATGCAAGCACAGCGTGACAGCACACTGCACGCAAGTACACGTACGCTCTTGCGCCAGCTCCGGTGACGCGCGTGCGCGCGCCAGGTTCTACTGGTTCCCGGTGATGAGCGCAACCAGCCGATCCATGAGGAGCACCGCCTTGGCGCTGTCGGGCTCACGGACGTGGAACTCGTGGTCCGCGGGCGCGGAGTCCAGCAGCTCGGCGTCCGCCGCGGCCCACCCGCTCGCCAGCAGGCCGTCGTAGTAGGCCTTGCCCTCAGCGACCAGCGCGTCGTCCGCAAGGCAGACGAGGACCCGGGCGCACCCGAGGCGCCTCAGGCTGGGCGCGCCGTCCGCGAGCGGGTTCACGCGCGGGTCGTCGGGCCCCGCCGTCGTCCGCCCCTCGCCGCACGCGAACGCCCACATCTCCGCCAGCTTGCCGCGCACCCACGCGTACTTCGCTACCTCGCCTTCCTCCGCAGCCTTGCTGCCCTTGTCCCCAGGCGCCGGTGCCGGCGGCGACAGGAAGAACGGGTGCACCAGCGCCATCCCCTGCACCCGGGCGCCGCGGGGGAGGAGGTCGGGCTCGGTCTCGGGCTCCGAGCCGGCGCGGAGGGTGAGGTTGTGCGCGAGGTTCGCGCCGGCGCTGAACCCGAGCACGAACACGCGCGCCACGTCGCCGTGGTCGCGGACCCACGGGTCGGCCGCCGACGTCACCACCCACCGGAGCGCGGCCCAGGCGTCGTCGTAGCAGGCGGGGACGGGGTGCTCGGGCGCCAGGCGGTACTCCACGGACACGGCGAGCGCGCCGGCCCGCGCCGCGAGGCGGTTCACGAAGGCGTGCTCGGGGGCGTCGGCCGCGGACCCGAACACCAGGCCCCCGCCGTGGAAGTAGAGGACGATGGGGAGACGACGCCTGTCGCTATTGGGCGTGCGGATACTGGGATGTAGAGGCGCGCCCACAGGCCCGTGGCCGGGTCAACGGTGACGTCCTTGGAGGCGACCCCGGTGGCGGCGTCGACGAATGGCGGGACCGGGTTGACGGGGAGCAGGCGCTCCACGCAGCCGCTCTTGTACTGCCGGATCACGGGGACGAACTCGAACGTGACCTCGGCGTCGGGATCCATGTGGACTGTGCGTGGTGGCGCGATGATGGCGAGGTGGTTATCGGATTTTGTGGCGGCAAAGGGATGAGCCGTGGCAAGGGTATTTGAAGACGATACAAAGCTTGCGTCATCAGATTGGCAATGCCAAGAGCTACACGCTCCTCGCGAGAAGACGACAGTTTCACATGTACAGACAGACAGTGAGACAGTATTACAGTAGTTATACTAGTAGTACTTGATTGAGGAGCAACCCGAGAAGACGATAACCTTGTGCTCCTCGCGGGATAGCAAGGAGCGGGTCGTCGACGTGACGGAGGCCACGCCGCTCACGCGTACAGGTCCGACGGACGATGCTCCTCCCTCCCTAGTGCTTGCAATTACCTCTGCTGTCAACTGGGAACCTTTTTTTTTTTTTTTTTTTTTTGCTCCGTGGATATGGGCCATTTGGTTGCTGGGCCAAATTCTACTAGCCGGGCCAAAAAAAAAATTATCACATCCAGGCCAAATTCTAACAACACAGATGTTTACTGTTTGGCTGATACACTGGGTTGCTCCAAAAAAAGAAGACTGATACACCGGGCCACAGGAATCAGGCCGTTATTTAACATAGAACTTCATATGGTAACTCAAAATTGTTCCTATAAGTTTAGGTAAATAGCATAATATGACATGTTGAATTTTTTTTTGAACATAACCCCCCCAAAAAAAAAGTCACAAAAATTGGAGATATTTTGAACCCTGCACACAAGTGGACTAAATTAGGCTAACTCAACGCTTATCAGTTAGCCCGGTTTATCTCTTGTTTTATTTAAGTTTGTCTAGTTCCGAATTTGGAATGTGTAAACTGGAAAATGAACAACGTAAGTTCCCCCCATGCTGCTATGATTAACCTTCGAGCTTTATCCTTTCTGCACGCTGAGCTTGGATGCATCAAGAGAACCTAATCTCGCCGCACAGGCAACACTGCTATCAAGAATCTCTTCCATGCCGTACTTGTACTTGAAACCCAGCTCGCCCAACCTGTCCCGGTCAGGCTGCACCCTCGCCACCGCCTCCGTCCTGACGCAGATCCAATCAATCGCAACAGAAATGTAAATCAGCTTGTTGTCAGATATCCCGACAGAGCAAATCATTCATAGTCTGTGTTCTAGACTTCTTGTGCAGGGTGATGGTGTGAAGGCTTTTTGATCTTACTCTTTCAAGATGTCGAGGTGAGGGAACTTCCTGGCGTAGTGTCCGACCACGTCGTGGATCGTCGGGTACGCGGCGGCGCAGAGGTAGCGGCCGGCGATGGAGGGGCAGCGCTCCATGCAGAAGATGAGCGCGTCGCAGACGTCGTCGACGTGCACCAGCGGCAGCGATCCCAGGAGCTGCTGCAGGATGCGCGGGAGCCCGAAGAGCGGCTCGTTGCAGGACACGGGCGACACGGCGCTCTCCAGCGTCTCCGGGGCACGGCCGAGGACCGTGTCGCCGGCGACGAGGCCCAGGGCCAGGGTCACCACCTCGAACACCGGGCTCTCGCCGCCGTTGTAGCTCAGGAGTTCCTGCTCTGACTGCAGCTTGGACAGTATGTACTTCTGCAAATGGCCGTCAGCTTTAGCCGTTAATTGAAATATATATATATATAGAGAGAGAGACACACACACACACTACATGTTTGGCTAAAAATTAAGGGAGCTGTTGTGAGTCTATACAAATTCAGGATTTTGTTTGATATGTACGCATAATTGATAATCGAATAGTCCATTTTTTTCATAGAAATAAAAACAGAGTACATCCATAAACAGAGTAAAGCCTAGTAACCAGCAAAATTGTCCTCCGAGGTTCAGTTCAGAAATCAGAAGAAGCTTCACTACTTACATCGAAGTGTGCGCTTCGGAGAGGATAGTCAACGTTGAGCGAAGTCCAGCAAGATTCGCTGATGAAATCTTTGTACCCGGTGACGCCGGAGACCTCCTCCTTCAGCGGCGAAGCGGCCGACACGGAGGCGGTGTGGATCACTCGCTTCACCGTCCTGGACTCCTCGCATTGCCGGAGGATCGCGCGCACAGCGTCCACTACAGCTTCCGCCGTGCTCTTATACTGCTCAAATTTTCGTTTGCAAGGATAGTAATTTTCATTTCCACAACTAAAGAAGAGACAGCACGGCGCCTGACCATGACTCGTCACTCGTTGACTAGTAAGACCATGAAAGGGAGCGCGATGGCAAACTTCACCTTGGAGCCGGCGTTTTCGAGCCCGAATGGCGTGGCGACGAGGAAGACGAACTGGCACCCAGCGATCGCCGGCGCGAAGGTGGTGGCGTCGAAGAGGTCAGCGTCGAACAACCGCAGCCGCTCCGCCGCGCCGGGGACCAGCCGCCGCAGCAGACCCGCCTTCTCCTCGTCTCCTGCAGCCACCAGCAGATGAATCCGACTGAGATTTCCGAACCAGGCACTCCTTTTGCCTTTTGGCGTGTTTCGCGGATCGAGGTGAGCCGCCATGAAACGAAGGAGGTCACGGCCTCCCTCACGCACGCATGAGTGACGCACCGGTGTTCCGCAGGGTGGCGTGGACGGTGTAGCCTTTCTCGAGGAGCTTCCTGACGAGCCAGGAGCCGATAAACCCGGCGCCTCCGGTGACGCACACCCGCACTCCGCTGCTCTCGCTTTCGGCCATGGCTGCCTCTGAATGGTAACAGTGTTTGGATTTGGATTGGACCTATGGGATTTTGCTCTGGCGTGAGAAAAGCTGGGCGTCTGGTCTAGTTTAAATATACCCATGAGCAGGATACCAAAGTTGACCGTCTTACTCTTACGGGTCGGCTGTGGACTTGTGGTTGGTGTCCACAGAAAGAGAAGAGAAGGTGAAATAGGGCGGGGAAGGCCAAGACGCCGAGTCAACCGACCGGCTGTAAATACTGTTTGTTGATTTATTACGAGAAAAAAATAATATTTCTTTGCTCAAATAGTATGACTCATAAGACAAACGATTAGGGCCAACGGTCAGACAAATAGATGAATTAAAAAAGTACTATGCCAAATGATTAGTGAAAAGCACCTAAAATCTCCAGATATATTAAATATGTTTATTTGTTAATTGAAATATGACGTTGTGACGACAAATATACTCCCTCGGTTGGAGGAGTATATAAAGGTCCTCAAATTTTCCCCTCATTCCTAAAGACTTTTAAGGGCCCCTATTTCTATTTTCCTATATGGTTAGAAAGACCTGTGCCTGGTACAGATTTCTTTTTTATTTGTACGGATTTATTTTTTGCCCATTTGCTCGCTCTCCTGTTTGTGCTGCATTCCTAGCCACGTCGGCCGCTCCAATCGGTCTTCGGGCGTCAGATCCGCCATGGCCTTCCTCCATTCCCACACGTTTCCTTGCTCCCCCACAAGGATCTGTTATCTCTAGTGCCATCTACCTCCTCCTCAGCGTCCGCATCAGCCCTTTCCGACGCATCGTCCACCGGCACACCTACGTCCTCCCCCAACTCCGACTCCATCCTGGCACGACCTTGACCCCCTCCCCGCATCTGCAATTGCCCTTCCGTGCACGGCTACCTTCCCGCTGCGGCACCGGCTCCCGCCACGGCGCCCCCTCTCGCCACGTCCCCTCGCCTTGCGTGCCCTCTCCTAACGTCCCTTCTCCTGGCGCACATTCCACCTTGCAGTCCTAGCTCGGCTTCTCTCATGGCTCCACCACCGCCGGCCTCTGCCCCATAGGTAGCCTCACTCCTAGCACCACCACTGGCCTCCAACTCACAGCTGTCTCCCTCCACCGGTGGCTTCCTTCCTAGCTTCCCTCCACCATTTGCCACCCACATCAGGCGAGGGAGAAATTGGAGAGCAGAGATGATGATGGACCCTATAAAGAGGTCCTCCAAAACCTCATTTTAGATAAAAGGAAAATTGAATGAAGAGAGATGGAAGGAACTGGAGTACATGGTTTCACTAGAGGAGTGCAAGGTCTCACCGGAGGAGTGCATGATGGAGGCAGAACAATGCAAGGCTGGCATTGAGCAGATGTGAGCAATAATAGAATTGTGTTATGTGACATTAACACTTTAGAGCCAGATGTGAAAGCATATGTGATAGCAACGAGGGCTCAACTTGTACCTTAGTGGATGGTGGTGTTCAACAATAGCTTTAGTGGATGAAGTGGTGCAATGAGTGGGGGTAGTTGAGGCTAGTGGTGATGGCAATGGAGGAGATAATTGATTCATTCCTATATATATGTTTCATATTTATGAATTTAATGCTGTGGTGGACTATGTGATGTGATGAACAATGTCGTTTAAATTCGAATTAACATATTTGAATTTATGGATCTGAGTACCATTGATTTGTATAAAGTAGTAACAATATTGTTCGATTTTTTGTTAGATGAAATAGATAGAATACCCGTAGATTGTGGGAAAAGCTAAAACAAGAAATTAGGAACCTGATTTAAGGCTATTGCTAGAGTTGAGCTTCCCTCGGTTCTCAAGTACAAATCATGAGTTTCAGGGGCAATTGCTCTTCAAATCCCTTCAACATGGTTTGAAGGAGTGCGTGAGCCCATGCGAATCAATTGAAATCGCATTGACAATGCTAGAACGAACAAACAACAAAAGTTGCTTTGACCCGATTCCATCGTAGACGCAGCACAACACTTGCTCTAGTTTGGTACTCCCTCCGTCATAATATATAAGACGTAACCACTTTTTATTCAAGTCTCGTAATATAAGGCGTGCTCTCCCTAGATACGCGTATATCGATGCAATAGTACTAGTATTGAGAGAGAATTAAATGCGTTCCTTAGTCTTTGAACCAGGGATGGTTGCGCCTTAAAGCAAGTATAGAAAAGGGTTGTAGGTGGGTTGTATGCTGAGGTGGAAGAGAGAGAGGGTAGGAGAGAGATTTACAGCCGGCTTGGACACAAGAACCAAAAAACTTTGTGAGAGACAAGTGGGTCATGTATTAATAGTGAAGATATAATTACTATATAGGTGGGCTAGAGGTAGGCTGTAAGGATTCATACAGCCAGTAGTCGGTTGTTGCTCTTATATACTACTCCCTTCGGACCAATTTATAAGGCATAGTCTGACATGGCACAGTCTTCTAAATTATACTTTGATCGTTTATTTATGTTATATTATAAACTTATTATTATTGGATAGTACGTTTGATTAGAAATCTAACGGTATAAAGTTTGTTTTATAGTAGTTAAAAAATATTAGTTAAATTATCGATCAAAATTTTTAAAGTTTGACCGGTGACATGCACGAAATGCCTTATAAACAAGAGCGGAGGTAGTAGGACCGAGGGAGTAAAAGACTTCGATGGTGTTTGGATGCAAACGCAAACGTAACTAGAATACGGCGGTAACATTAACAAATGATCGGAAGACGGATTTTATTTGTTTCACTTGCTGTAATGGTAATGGGGAAAGCTGGAAGCAACAGAGATTGGGAGAGAGAGGGATGGATGAAGAAGTAGATAACTGTAGCTTGTAGGGCAACGCCCGCATGGTATGGAGGCATGGAGCAGCGAGCTAACCGTCGGCACAGCGGTGGAGTTGCTCCTAGTGCTCCACGAGCGAAGGTGGAGCCGTAGGGTCGAGGCCACCGGCGAAGGCGGAGTATGCTAGGGAGAAAGCAGTATTGGCTTTCTATAGGCCGGTGGGACTTCATTATGGGAAGGCTGAAACAAACAGTACTTTCTACGTTTCAAATTATAAGTCTAATTTTATTGGAGAGTCAAAGCACTAATTTTAAGTTTAACCAAAATTATAAAAAAAATTACAAAGATTTATGATATCAGATTTGTATACTACAAAATATAATTAACGAAGAATCTAATGATATCTATTTGATATCATACATGTTATTATTCTATTATATAAATTTTGTTAAACTTAAGATGCTTTGACTTTTTAAAAAAATTAAAATGACTTATAATTTAGATGGAGGGAGTAGTAAAGGGATATGTTACCATCAGTAATCAAATCACGTTACAGTTCCCAACCAAACACCGAGTGCAATCATAGCCGGCTATTGCTTTATATACTAGGACCGAGGCAGCAAAGACTCCGTGCAATCATGTGTTTCACACTCACGCTCACTAATAAAGACCGGCACGGATTAAATGGCATGGAGTTTGCTTCGTCACACAGCCTCGTCCAGTCTTGGGCACACGCAGGGTCGACGCCAGCACGGACGCCGCCACCGGCGTCACCTCCAGGGACGTTGTTATCGACGTCGCCACCGGCCTCGCCGCGCGTCTCTACATTCCCAGCGACGTCCTCGGTACATCCACGAAGCTGCCCCTCCTCGTCTACTTCCACGGCGGCGCCTTTGCCGTGAACTCGGCCTTCTCCACGCAGTACTTCCGCTTCCTCAACGCGCTCGTGTCAGCGGCCCGCGCCGTGGCCGTGTCCGTCGACTTCCGTCTCGCGCCCGAGCACCCGGTGCCCGCCGCCTACGACGACGCATGGGCCGCGCTCGGCTGGGCAGTGGCTACCGCCAGCTGCGCCCGCGTGTCGTCCGGGCAGGAGCCGTGGCTTGCCGAGCACGGCGACCCCACGCCCCTCTTCGTCGCGGGCGACAGCACCGGCGGCAACATCGCGCACAACGTGGCGATGAGGGCAGGCAGGAGCGGTCTGCCTGGCGGCCCGCGGATCGAAGGGATGGTGCTCCTGCACCCGTACTTCTGCGGCAAGGAGCTCGTGCCGTCCGAGAGCGCGGAGCCCCTCCGGTCGTTGGAGACGGCGGAGCGGTGGTGGGCCTTCGTGTGCGCGGGGAGATACGGGATCGACCACCCGTTCGTCAATCCGCTGGCGATGCCAGCGACGGAGTGGGTGTCGCTCGGCTGCCGGCGTGCCATGGTGACCGTGGCCGAGCTGGACAGGATGCGGGACAGAGGCCGGAGGTACGTGGAGGCGCTGAGGGCCAGCACGTGGGCAGGAGACGAGGCCGTGCTGTACGAGGATCAAGGCGAGAGGCACGTCTTCTTCCTCAGTAGATCCGACGGTAGCGGCAAGACGAAGCAGAGATGATAGCAGCCATTGCGTCCTTCATGGCGTCGTCAAACGCCCAAGCTCTATTAGGTCCATCCGTGCGCTCTTTGGGTTGTGATGCTAAGCTTTAGATCCTCCAACCCTCGTGATGACAGAATTGAGTGAACTAGAAGGATACCCCCATTGCTATGGGGAGTTTTTAAAAATAAAGTTGTTGCATCTTGTATGTGAAGAGATTAAAAGTTAGTGAAAAATGATGTGGCATTTAATCAGGAATGACGTGAATAGTTTGCAGGTTTAGATGGTAAGCTAGAGGAGAATAGTAGTATGATATTTTGAGGAGAATGACGTGGATAGTTTACATATTGAGATTAGAAATTAGTGTACTTTAATATAAACTCAGGGCCATTCAGGGCTCTAGCCAAAAAGTTGGAGGCCATGCGGTATTCATCAAACCTAGCATGCACCGCCCATCTATATAAAAGGTCATCTCTAATCTACTATGTCAATAATAATTTCTTAGTCCTCATCAACAAAAACTCACGTACATGTGGTGAGCAAATTTGTTTAATTGGAGCAAATATTTAGCAACTCAGAAAAGTATGTTTGCTTCAAATTGCAAGAAAATATATACCAACAAATAGCATGGATTTGTGTGTAATTCAGATGCAATAGAAATTTATGCAAAACCAGAAAGAAACGTAACTCAACCAAATTTGAAAGAGGGGACAGAGAAACTTCATTAAGCAACTAAGCAAGCAAGCATTGATTGTCTACAAGTTAAGTCCTTGATTTCATGAGAATCGCCTAGTTAAACAGTGAATTGCCTGATTGAACATGGAAGATTTGTTTACATGTAATAAAAATAGTGCATTTTACCTCAGCAAACATAGCATAATTGCATGAATATACCATTGTAAAAGAAATACTTGATGTAAGAAAAATGGACAAGGGTTTAGTGATTTTGGTGGTTGACTAACAACATAGCCATTAGGATTAACAATGTTTACTGGTATGCATGCAAGGTAATTAATCTTACGGATACAAGAGATGTACTTGAGGTAGGCTACGGTGAAGATCGAGTACTCAACACCTCAAACGAAGATTAAAGAGAAGCATTGCATACCCTAGAAGAGACAAAAAAAAAACTGAAGAGATCATACAAGTGAAGCTTGGAAAATTGGACACAAAGAAATGCACTCAGATGAGCGGAGAGGTGCACCCAAGCTTTCGGTGTGCACCGGAGCTCTCCGATGGTGTCACGGGAGTTCCTGGTGGGAACCATCCAGGAAGAGAAGTAGCCACGACATAATTCAGTGTGATTACTAGACTACCAGAGTGACCAAAAGAGATTTGCAATAGTGGCACGGTGGATGAAGCTAAAGAGAGCACCGGATCTCTTTTCAATGCATGCACCAGAGCTTAGGTGTTGCATGTGAAAGGCATAACAGTGGCCCGATTTCTCTATATAGTGGCAGTGGGTGTAGCTGAGAATGCACCGGCATTTCAATCCAGAGAGGGTTGCAGTCCCACTGAACACGAGGATCTCTTCGTGGGGCACCGGACAAACCACCAGAGATTAATTCAAATGGTCAAAAATGGCTAGGTGGTGCGTAGAGGGAACTAGATTTCTCCGGGTCACCGGAGCTACTATCCGGTGCGTCTGGCTTTTGTAGCCTGAGCTCCCAACGTGTAGTTAGTGCTTGCGGGCTATATATACCCCCTTGGCCAACCATTTGAAGAGAGTTGGAGCTTGAGGAAGCAATAGTTTAAGCCTCTTTCATTTGTGCTCTAGTCATCATATGCGCTTAAGTGAAGATTAGGCATCCATGCGAGGGGCTCCAATGAGGACCAGTGGAAAGTGTGAGCTTTCGATACATCTTGAAAAACATCATCATGCTGGAGTTTGTGTTCTCTAAGTCATTTATATGTTTCCAAATTTACTTATTACATTCCATAGTGTGAGTTTCACCTTCCTAGTCTAGCTTGCTAGGTTAGTTGAGAGGCTTTGCACTTAGGGTGCAATTTTTTTTACATTAGAGATAGCAACACTTAGAAAAAACTAGTGCACATCTAGATAGAGCTAGTGTAGGTTTTTATAATTTGGTTTTGGGCTTTAGTTTTCAATTGATGTAATTCACATTCCATTGCTCCACAACTATGTCATCATGACCGCACGGGGCTCTAGCGCACACTTCGGTGGAAGCAAAGCAAGAAGAGGGAGGGAGGGTTGTGTGCTTGGGCCTGGGCTCACCGCCCATGTCGCCCAGGAGAAACACGGGGCCGACCTCTTGGTGACTGTTTCCCTCTTTGGATCACATAGTCCTAATTTTTAGTAGCTAATAGCAATTAGTTTAGGTATCAAATAGATTCTTGAGCGTATGTACGCATGTACTCCATATTTCTTCTGTCCAAAAAATAAACGCACACCTCACTTCTTGAGGAGTCAAACTTTTTGACAAGAAATATCAAAAATAGTATTAATATTTATATCTCTAATTAAGTTTATTATAAAAGTATACTCCATACTCAATCTAATGCTACTTGTTATACATCATAAATATTAGTACATTTTCAAATAAATTCGGTCAAATAAAAAAAATGACAGAGTGAGATGTGTGTTAATTTTTTGGACGGTGGCACTACGTGAAAAACGGTTTGTAGCAACGGGATAAATTTTTTGTAGGGACGGCTGGTGATGGAGCCGCCCCTACAGTGGCGTGCTCGGAAGCCTAGAGACCAGCCGCCCCTATAAATAGAATAGCAGGGATGACTAGTGATACGAGCGGCCCCCTACAAATGGGTTGGATTTATAGGGGCAGCTCATTCACCAGCCGTCCCCGGTGTTGCTATTTGTAGGTATTTGGTGATTGAGCCGTCCTTACAAATGCCCCGCGTATAATACCTGCGATTTGTAGGGGCGGCTCAATCACCAACCGCCCCTACAAATGACCCACATATAAAATAAACTGCAACGCCTTTTTTCTCCTCGGGTCACTCACTTCAATCCGTAAAAGAAAGGTGGGGAGGCCTTGGGCACCTCCCAAAAATTGCTCTACTAAGAGAGAAGGTTTTGGTCTCAAATCCTTTGGTGAAGAGGCTGTAGAAGGTAAGAAAATGCTATTCCACACTTTTTTTAAGTTTTAATGGTTGGTTAGTGAGTAATTAGAGTTTTGCTTTTCTCTCTCTTCTATGGTGCTTGAGCTACTTATGAAGCAAATTAGACCCAAGTTTTGAATGTACTTGGGTAAATTAGGTAGGGGAACAAGATCATACCCTTATTTGGTCCATGTTTCTTGATTTTAGTGAACAATTAGTTAGTTTTATGGATGTTTCATGTGCATGTAGATCTAGATCTAGGGTTTGGTTTTTTTATTAATTTTGTTTTTGTAAATTTATGTTTGATGAAATTGGACTAGGGTTTGCATGAAAGATATTGGGTAAAATATAATTGTTGCTAATTGTTATCTTTGAAATTGTTTATTGTAATCAACAAATATGTATTTTAATTATTTATGGATAAATGGGCTATTAATTAATTTTCCTCTACCATGGTGTGTTTGTATGCTTCATGTAATTATATTTGATTTATATTCATATATATATATATGAAGTATATACAATTATTCTCAAGTAATAATTAATTTGATTCATTTATATATATATATATGAGTAAGTAGTCCTTTAATATTTGTTTTGTTGTTGTTGTAAAAGATGGAGTACAGGAACTCTTGGATGTATGGTCCGTTAAGGTTCAAGGCAGGTTTCCGTGAAGAGGTGGATAAATTTATTGAAGCCGCAAAAAAGCATGCAACAACGTTGACAAAGAATAAAGATACAATTATTTGTCCCTGTAAAGATTGCAAGAACCGTATGGCATGGACAGATGTAACTATCATCAGATCATATTTGATTATGCGAGGATTTGTTGAGGACTACACAGTGTGGATTCATCATGGTGAAACGGTTATTGTTAACGACGACGAGGAGGAATACGACGACGAAACCCTAGAATCCCTGTCCCAATATTCAGCAAAGTTTGATGCACGAATGGATCCCGATTTTAGCAATGAACAAGGTGGTGATGCTGGTGGTTAGGATGGTAACGACGAAGGTGATGCCAATAATGATGGTGGAGCACGTGTCGGGGATAAAGATGATTTGGAGGACATGATTCGAGCCCTTGGACCAGAGATTTTACTAAAGAGTCCAAAAGATCTAAAAAATTTGGAAAGGGTGACAAAAGCATCGAAGGATACTGTGTATGGTGTTGAAAAGGGTTGTCCGACACATTGGACATTGCTACATTTTGTGCTTGAACTACTCATCCTGAAGGCTAAGTACGGCTGGTCAGACTGTAGTTTCAATGATCTATTACGTCTCCTGTCATGGGTGCTGCCACAACCAAACTCAGTTCCTGCCAACACATACCAAGCGAGGAAGGTCATAAGTCCATTGACAATGGGGGTTAAAAAAATCCATGCATGCCCCAACCACTGTATACTTCTTTGTGGCGAAACGTTCAAGTCACTGGATAAATGTCCCCGGTGTGGGGCCAGCCGGTACAAGAACAATGACCTTTACGGTGGGAACGAAGCCTCCACTAGGAAAAAGAGGAATAAGAAGGGTACAAAAAAGGTGGTACAAGAATCTCAGCCCCCAGAGGACACTCCATTAGGCAACGATGCAAAGCAGAGAAGAATTCCTGCCATGGTAATGTGGTACATGCCAGTGACCGACCGCTTGAGACATATCTTCCTAAACCCTAAAGAAGTCGCACTCATGACATGGTGGGATGATGAGCGCATTGTGGATGATGATAAGATTGCACACCCGGCTGATTGTAATCAGTGGCAAAGGTTCGATGAGAAACACAAAGAATTCAGCGATGACCCAAGGAATGTACGGTTTGGCTTGAGCACCGATGGAATGAATCCCTTCAATGAGAGGATGAGCGACCACAGCACTTGGCCAGTGATCTTGACCGTGTACAACATCCCAACATGGTTGTGTTAGAAGAGAAAGTACCTTCCCCTCAC